ATGTCTGCTTCAATATTGTGATGCAGGTAATAATGTCCAAGGTCCGGCAGCAGATGGTCCAGATGGGTTATCGTGACCTGCTACATTTCGAGGACGAGCAGGGGGAGGTTCTGGGCAGCTGCCCGGCCTTTGTTGATGTCTCCTTCTTCGACGATGTGGCATTCAGCGTCGTCCATTCATGTTGTCAAACAGTCGTCAGGGTCGCCACGGATGTCCTATCGATACTGTGTGCAGAATCCCGTAAGAGGGGAATGGCAGTGAACTTGAGACCAGAAAAGACTGAGATCCTTCTTGCGCTCAAAGGTCCAGGCTCCCGGAAGCTCAAAGAAAAGCTGCTCATTGGGGGTGCTGGGAAGCTCCCGATAGTACAAGAGCATAGCACTGAGCATGTTGGTCTTGTCTCTGCCTATAAGCATTTAGGGTCCTATGCACAAGGTGATGCCACTCCGCATAGAGAGTTGCAGCACCGTATTGCGTCAGCAAGGAAAGCTTGGGGCCCCTTGTTAAAGAATCTGTGGAGCAACAAGAACATAGCACATGGCAACAAAGTGATGCTCTTCCAAAGCCTGGTCATGTCCAGGATGCTCTATAATGCGCATGTTTGGTCATGGTACCAGGAAAGTGAGATTCAGAAACTGCAAGCCGCCTTCCGGGATATGGCCAAGTCCATTGCAAGGCCCTCACTCATGGGTCTGGGGTTTTACCAGGTCACGGTGGAGGACTTAGCAGGCCTTGTTGGGATTTTAGACCCAGCCAGACAACTTCGTGTAGCAAGACTGCGCTATACTGCGCGGGCAGTTCGCTATCTGCCGTCCTTCATGTGGAGGATACTGCAGGAAACCGAAGGTGAGTTTGCTTGGAAGACGCACCTCATGGCAGATTGTGAATGGCTTCGACGCCACCACCCCTCGGGAGTATGGCCGACAGCCAATGCTGATTTCGCTCAATGGTTAGAACTTATACCCCAATGTGCTGATTGGCGCACCCGTATCAAAAGAGCTGCAGCAGCCTCGCTACGGGCCTCTCAAAGGAATGCAGAGCACAAACTATGGGAGCTCAGAATGACCGAAGAGTGGCAAGATTTTGGGCTCACCTTCGGGGGCACATACAAAGCAGACCCTGTAATGTGCTTTCGTTGTGAATTATGTGAAAATGTGTTTGCATCCAAAAGAGGCCTGTTTATGCACTCCTCCCACGTTCACGGCTATAAACCGCATGTGCGCTTTTTAGCCGCTGGCAGTTGTTGTCTAGCATGTGGGAAGGAGTACCATGCTCGACAGAGGCTTCTTGGCCATCTACAGTACTCCGGGCATTGTCGAGAGAAACTAGCAGCAGTTTTTCCTCCCTTGTCCCTAGAAGAGGTCGCCAAGTTGGATGAGCAAGATCGTGACTTCGCTGCGCAGCAAAAAGCCTTGGGGTGGCACCCACGGAAGGCCTTGTTACCGGCCATTCGCATCCCACATGCAGCCCTGCCGCCTGCAGGCAGTGAAGAGACTTTAGCCATTCGTACTGCATGTGGAACTGATAGTGTCTCGACCCCTCTCTGGCATAATGTTCATGGCACTCGTATTGGGGCAGACTCCCACACCCTACCGGCAGGGGCCCCAGCCGACATGAATGATACCAGATATGTCTATCAGCAAGTCCGCGGGTCCGTAGCCGGTGAAGCCGGTGTGTTCCAGGAGCATTCGATTTCAGTGCTTGACGCCAGGATTAGAATAGCCACAGTGGTGTTTGTGCACCTATACTCTGGCTTTCGGAGAGAGGGAGACTTGCACCACCATATTGAAAGCCACAAGTGGCACGCAGGAGTTGAGCTCTTCTGTATAAGTGTGGATTTATGCTTGCAAGGAGACAAAGGAGATCTCTTGTCGCCCACTAAAGTGGCGTGGTGGAAGGATCGCATCCGAGCTGGACAAGTTCTCGGCATAGGTGGCGGGCCGCCGTGCGAAACGTGGTCAGCTGCGAGATGGTTAGGAGGAGGACCGCCTCCATTGAGAGATCGACAAGCGCCCTGGGGTTTGCCGTGGCTGTCCAAGAAACAGCACCAGCAAGTAGTAGTCGGTAGTGGACTACTTCGAACTGCTGTCGAACTGGCAGTCATGGTGACTTTCTATGGAGGATGCTTCTTCATCGAGCATCCGCAAGTGCCACTCTGGCTGGAAGGCACACCGTGTCCGGCCATTTGGAGGACGCAGATGCTCAAGAAGTTGGCGCGGCTCCAGTGTGTTAGCGCCACCTGTTTCGACCAGTGCGTATTTGGTGCCTGCGGCATCAAACCAACCACTTTCCTGGTGGGGCGAATGCCAGTTTTTAGGGAGGTAGTCATGGTGAGTGGGCATGGCGGTCGCTGTCACCATGGACCCGGGGCCCATGTCGGACTAGCCGGCCGCGTCAATGGGCGATTCCGCACAGCGGGAGCCAAGATCTACCCTGCTGGCTTGAACTACATCATTGCAGAGGCCTTCGCAGCTTTTGTCGCGAGCTTGAAGTTGAAGGCGCATGATGGAGAGCTTAGTGAGGCGTTTAGTGACTTACGTCAGGTTGGTGCGGCCAAAGGTCGAAATGAAATCCAGCCCGACTATCACTACTAGCCCTATGCGGCAGTGCATGACAGGTTTGAACCATAAGTCCAGCAGGGCTTAGTATGCGCGAAAGGAAAAAAAAAGGTTGGAAGCAGCTCAAAAGCGTGGTTTGTCTTGGCTCAGGACTGCTGCTTTCCTCTGGACATCTGGAGGCAAAGTGCTGATTGACGATACTGGCCATCGTATTCATCCATCGACCCCGGTCTAGGACGATGAACGTGAGCAGGAGCGGGGCCGAATACCTGCAAGGGGCTCCGGTAAGGGCTGGGCGATGTCGGTCGCCTGTTCATTGCTACCCGTCAAGATTTTCTTCCCGGAAGAAGTGTTGCGAGAACTTCGGCGGATGCCTCCTGGAAGTGAGCCTATATCGAATATCGAGATGCAGTGGCGCCCCAAAATAGGCACCAAAAATTGATCCGATGGCCCCAATTTAGTTTTGCTTTCGCCGACTTGACCCTCAGTTGTCCGAAGCGGCTCATGCGCACATCCACTAGAGCTTTTGGCCACAAGAGGAAGATGAACAGGAAGAGGAAGAGGAATGGGAAGAGTAAGAGAGGAAGAGGAAGGACAGTGGCCAGAAATAGAATTATACCAGCGTAAACCCCAAACAGGTTGTGCGTTTATGAAGTGGGCCACAAAGGCGAACTGTCAAGCAGTCAGCGGCTCAAACCGTTCCAGCTCGCGGTGATCAACTCGGAACTTCTGGGCTTGTGTCAGCACTTGGCGAAATTGGTCAAGGTCAGAACCGACAATTCAAACGAAACCAGGACATTTGCACATCTACCGAATATGCTGCCTTGGACTGACATGTGGCTTTATCATGCTTTGGTTTAAAGATGTTACTAGCTTTCAGCCCGAGGTGGGACAAGCAAGGAGACAAGTGAAGCAACAAGGAAGACAAGCAGGGGCACAAGTGGAGACAAGTGTAACAAGAAGGGAGACAAAAGCAGAAAGACCACCAGGGATAAAATCCTCCGGCCGAGAATATCCAAGCATGGAGACAAGCAAAGAGACAAGTGGAGACAAGACAAGCGCATCTGGCTAGGAGGCTGCGGCCAACGCAATCGCAGCGTGGCAGGAACGGAAACCCGGAGACAAGCTCGGTAGCTGAGCCTCGGCGCCTTCACAGGCGGCTGCCGCACGGGAGATCGTGCGGAGAACTTGGGCAGAAGTCGCATCCCAAGTGCCAGTAGTTTCGGCAACAACAGGGATGAAGTGGATGTCCTGTTCCGTACACAGCTGGGCCGTGTTTTGATGGGAGGACTTGACGGAAGCATAGGCTGCCGCCGAGCTACCACTTGCTTGGCTGGCCTGGGGGAGGGTCTCGTTCCGCTGAAAGCCAGTGATGGCCAGGTCCAATGCAGAAGGAGAGCCCTGCAGGCAAGGCAAGTAATTTCAGCCGGCCGCCGCCGCTGCACGCCACAGTCGTCCGGGCGCTGGGGCAGGAGGAGCTCCCGGCGCTCTTTCTCAGGTTGCAAGCCAGCCCGAGCACAGCACGAGGCCAAAAGGTCTCGAACAGTTGAGTCCGCTCCCCGCCGGCAGCACACACCCCCGCATGGAAGGAGCGGCAGTCGAGCACTGCATCACATTGAGGGCACCAAGTGTCCTCAGAGGAGTCAGGGATACCAAGGCGATGGCGTACCTCAGCGTTAAAAGCAGCAGGTTCCATGCGACGACGCCCATGCGGGACAGCCGTCAGAAAGCCACTCGCGCCCGGCCCCACTTCAGACCAAAGCAAAGCTTTTGCAGAAGGAGCCGAGGCTGCAAGCTGGGAGTCCCAGTTCGCCTGGTCAAGGAGGGTGGTCAAAGCTTTCTGGGATTGGGTCAAAGCACGGTCAATGGGCAGTGGCTGCGGCAAATGCCCATTAAGGTGGGAAAGCGCCTGCACTCTAGAGTCTAGAGGAGGACGAGACCTCAGCCGCGCCAAAGCTTCCAAGCTCCACACAGCGCGCCACGCTGGCCCCTAGCGATGCGAGGTAGGCAGCATGGCGGTGGGCTTGGAGATTCGCGCATCGCATGTCGATGAAGCCGGCCATGAGGGGTGCTGGCCGCGACAAGAGCGATTGGAAAGCCTGAAGTCGAATGCAAATAGGCCCTGGGGCCCTGCATCAAGCCAGCGTCAATTGAGTCCATGGTCTCAATCCTAACCTGTTGAGATCTCACAGGCCATTCTAGAATGACTTTATTTGCGAGCGTGGACCCCCTCAGAGGAGATCCTTGCATTCGTCCCTCAGGTGCCAGAGTCGACTTAGACTTCGGAAAGGCCTTCCTTATCATTCCTTCCCACGTTGGACCCCATCGTGAAGCGACCCCCAGGCGTTTTCACGGTGGACATCCGATCGATGCACCGGCGTCCTGGACGCCTCACCCGCCAGGACCGCACCGAAGAACGCCCAGCCGGACGCTCCGACCCGCCTGTGGAGGTCTCCGACCAATCGCTTCGGGACATGCCCAGCACGGTCTGGCGCGGCGCTGAAAAAGAAGAGGGACGTCGTCCCGTTGGCTTGTTTTGGGCGAACATGCTGACTACTTGGATACCCCCCAAGAAAACAGTCTTCTCTCCTCTTTTATTTCCTCTCAGTATGATGGGAAGCACACTTTCACTTCGAATACCCTCTCTCGATTTTCCTCGCTCTGCGTTCCTTTTCACCATCACCCCCGCACAACACATCACCTGGGTCGAACAAGTTCGTAACCCGATATCCCAGTTGGTTCGGTCCCATCACGTGCCATTGTAAAAGGTCACCGACAAGGACGTCGTCCTTGTCGGTGACACATGTCAGAGTCAAATGCTCCCTGAGATTCAATTGCTTTGGATGTCCAAATCGCTGGACATGGTCCACCTGTGTCACCGTATGTTGAGAGATCATGCTTGCGACACCCTCTGGTCACAGCGGCTTCAAAGGGACTTGTGCAGGGCCAAAATATTGCAGAAAACACCCAAAGGGTGCTTGCTCCATCATATTTCCTTTTCTAAAGAGCGCCTGGCTCTTTGGGCTTTTTGCTCCAGCGTCTTTTCTTTTTCACGCTGAAGACCCCAAGAAAACTCCCTAATCCCACCAACCTAGTGCACAATTTGCCCTGTAACCCCAAAGACCCTGAATCATCTGTCCACCGATATCTCTCCATCTGGTGAAACTCCTCCAAATCGCTTGGCTTGGGCTCTCTCCTTTCCTCCATCAAGCGTGTCGCAGGGCCACGCTCTTGCTGTGGAACAAGGGACCTGATATCGGTGTTCCACCGAATCGACCGGAGCATGGAGCGAGTGAGAAGCGGCTGCGCCCACGAGCAGCCGACCAACGCATTGAGAAGAAATGTGACCAGCCTCCCCTCAAAGACAAACTGTGGGCTTGCATTGGCCATTCAAATCCTTGACCAGCTCACCGAACGCAGTGAGAAAAGATATGTCTGACTTGTGCTTATGCCCTGAGGAACTGCGACACCAACCTGAGGAACTGCAAGATTTTCAGAATCCAGTTGAATGGGATGTTTTCTCGAACATCGCGCTTGACGGGAAGACGAATTTCCTCTACCCGTCTCCACCCAATACACTGCGCGACGTTCAATCCTCAGCCTGTCTAATTCTTTGGAGTTTTATACGTTCCTCCTCTACAAACCTTTGTCCTTTTTTCACATCCCATGTGAGTCTCACACCCCAACATGGGAGGTCATCAACCTTGATCATCTACTGCAGCTGGATCAGCATGACGACACACCATCCGAATGGTAAAAACCCCACCAACCACGTGTCCATGAACCATTCTTCACTCTTGAAATCCAGCATCTCCATGTTTCACCGGCTGCCCGTTGGCTCAACAGGGTTTTTCAGGTTTCCCCACGCTTCTTCCCCCCTGTTGTTGTCTTTTTGACGAAAAAGAACACAGAACGATCCGCATGGCCCTTCCCCACGAGCGGCTCTTCGGTCTTCAAAACCCGTGGTCCCAAGGCGCTCGTGGAATAGGCCATGGAATGCATGAGCTGCCTGGGACCACCGACGGACACGGTCTTTGCACCGGGAAAGCGGCCGGACACGGCACGGCCAGAGCGCTTAAAGGAGGGAGAGTTCCTGTTTGGAAGGACTCTCTAGCCATGCACCCTTTTGTGTGCAAAACCGGAGAACGGACCAATCCGGAGACAGACCGGATTTCTCTGGCCGAAATGCTGAAACTTCGGCCAAAGCCTTCCTGTCTCCGTTTAGAACTCCCCGGAGTCCAAGGGGTTCCGATGTTTCTCTCTGCGGTTGACCGATTGGTTCCCGAATACAAAAGGCCATGGAGGAACGGCATGTCCATGACGGATCCTGTTCGAACCAGGTCTTTTCGATTTTGGGGGGTCAACCATTCCCCATCAACGCCTTTCGGAAGTCGAACCCTTTCCAAGTCGAACCAGCCATTTTAAACATGGCCCGAATCCCGAACTGTTTTATGTCAAGGATTTTACTCTACAAAACCAGATCAATGAATCAACCTAAAAATGGTGCCGGACTTCCAGGAGAACAGTCACAAATGGCTCTGGGTCATGGCATGCGGAACGCTTTGACCTACCTGGAGACTTCCTGGGTGCCTCCGGAACCATCGAAGCGGATCTCCCTCGCCCGGATAAGACCAAACACTGGGACAGACCTGGCTTCGCGGGGTCACCATCCTTTCCATCCCAGACACGACTAATGGGACTGCGATATATGCTGATCTATTGACCCCCCAAAACCACCCCAACTGATCGGCAGTCCGTCCTGGCAGTCCCAGACGGGTCGTGTCTGGGTATAGAACCCTTTTTTTGAGGGTTCGGGATTCTGCCGATGACATGCCGGGGGGGCCAGGAATCCGGTTCCTCCGCTTTCGTGCCAGCCCGGCGGCATCTTCCCAGCGAGAGAGGTGCTCCGCCCCGGCCGGCCGTCGAAGGACGCCATGCCGCCTGGGGGCGGGTCGCGTGGGGCGGGTCGCGCGGAGCGTCGGGAAATCCGAAGCGACACAGCGACACCCGCGGGTGACGAACAGGAACAAACGTGACGCACCTTTCGATTGAGGATGTGGATGTGCAAGGAACTCTGTTGGCATTCGCACCCAACAATTTTTCGAGACGCTTGGAGAAAGAACAGTGGAACACAGAGAGACCACGAGCAGCTTTTTTGGACCACTTTGGACCAGTGACCAAAGGGATAAAAATCGGAAAACACATTAAATAATAACATGAGATAGAACATGTGCTCAAGGGATATGAGGGCCAGGCGTTTTGAGATAGAACATGAGCATATTCCTTAGTAATTTCTTCCGCTCGTTCTTCGTCTTCCGTTCTTCATCCACACCGAAACCCACGGCCTCCAGCGTGAGCACCGCGCCGGAAGGGACCGGTCGCTGAGCCACACGACGGCGTGCTGTGGGGACTTCGGGAGAATTAGCTCATATACCTATACCAGGACCTTATACCAGGACTTATATATACTGGGACCTTCCGGTCTTCGAAATGGTGGCTTTTGGAGACTTAAAAGTCGCAGGTGGTGACCTGTTGGAGGGTGCTGGTATTTACATATATTATATATATATATATTATATAGATATCTTTAGTTCAACCTCTCTTGGTCGATATCACCTGATAGTTACTAGTTGGTTCCAGGCACTTTGTACTTTTGGGATCAGAGGAGTGCGAAGCTCAGGATGTTTACACGCAGTATCTGCACAAGTCGAGCTACCTAAGAAACTTAGTAAGCATGAACCTGACAAAGATTCATGTCTGGCCATGCAACATCTTTTTGTATTAAATTCCAAGTCTCTTTTCCAGAGAGTGTTTCTTTTGGTCCCCTTTTGGGAAGACCCCCTTTTCTTTCTGGCCATCATCCTGCTTTGGTCCATTTTCTGAACCTTCCCATGGCATGTTTAATATTTTTAACGGGGGGATCTCTTCCTGTTCTTTTCTTCACACCCATTTTCTTACTATAGATATAGAATGATATAGAGATCAACAAAGGAAAGTCACAGGCCTGTACTCGTCTTGCTACCAATTTCATGCCATGCATGGCAGATTCAGACGTGTGCTCACTGTCACCCCTCTTTTCAAACAGGTCTTTCACCTTGCTGTCCACCTGGGAAACCGGGTGGCCGGTGTTTGGAGGGGTGACACCCTGGCAACCGTTTGGGTCTCCGCTTCCACTGACCCGTCCCACTCTCTTGGAACGGCCCCCCGCCCCGCCGTGGCCGCCCCGCGTGGCCGTTCTTCCGACGGGTCGCCGGAGCCGTTGTTCGGTGTCAGCGGTGAAACGGGGCGAGCGAGGAGAGCGGAGCGAACTGAGCCCCCCCAAATCCGGTCGCGGAGAGGTCACGGTTTGCGGGGGGGGTGGAGGAAAGAGGAGTTCCAAACAGGAGTTTCTCTTGGTTTCGATGGTGCGAGGTGAAGAAGGTGAAGAATCTCACCTCGCATGTTTGTTGGAGTTTCATGTTTGTTGGAGTGAAATCCCTCTGCATCGTGCACTCCAACGAAACCCCGAAAACCTCGTAAAACTACGACGTCGTATTGATCAAGTTCTTATATATGGACCACATCCCATTTTTCAAGCATAGACCAGAAGCACCACCCAGAACACGATGGATTTGCCAATCTCATGTGCTTTCCCCACTGCGAACGTGCCCACATCCTCCTCCAGCCGGGCCGCGGGCGGGACTATTCCGCGGCCGGTGACTATTCCGCGGACCGTACGATCTTGGTTGCCATTTTAGCAACCGCTAAAATCCAATCGATGAGGTTCGTCATACTCATTGTCTGGAAACATTTCGACGTGGATGAAAGAGGGTCTGAACACATATGCTCCGGATGTCAGAGATACCACGCTATAGAAGAGTCAAATCTTGAACTGTCATCCGGCCTTGTTCAATGGATGAACATGTTCTTGGCATTTCAGATTTCGTTCAAGGACCTAATATCAATTCCTCGCTGCCTTTGTTCAAGTCGAGAGCTTCGTTTTCGCAATCACCTCGAGCATATCGAAAGAACCCTCTTGACTAATTCCATATAGGTCACCATGGCAGGCCCTGGCAGGCAGGTGTTGAAGAACCCTATCGACTATCTCATAGGTACGCAGCTATCCAGTAGGGTCCTATGGCAGGTCCCTTGACCTGTAGGCTCGCTGCTGTTGGATGCAGCTGTGATCGACCAGTGATTTTGAAGACGCCGGAGATCCGATGCCGGAGATCGGTGGAGGTCACTTTCTTCCAGTTCTTTTCGCTGACGGGGTGTCATCCACTGACTGGGTAGGCCTTTTTCTACGCAACGAAAGAGCCCAAAACCTCAGGGCTTCTAGCTGAGCCCCGACGTCTCATGCCGAAGGCACTGGGAACCGTGGACGATCGAGAGTCCTCGATGGACCCAGGGTTTCTCACTGCAAAAAAGATTGGTCCATCAACTATTTCAAAAAAAACACCTTACATTTGTTGGTTTCTCTGCCAGGGCCCCTGAACAAACCCTGGAAGGAGCTAGACAGCAGCTCTAAGCTAAAAGAGCTGCGTCTTCAACGAGAAATACACATCTCTCTGATCTATTCGACTCCATCCGCCAACGCTCCTCCCAACGGGCGAACCTCTTCGCACCGGCGGGGCATGCAGCACCGGCGGAGCGCGGCACCTCAGACGCTGCTGACGTTGTCCACCTCGACCTGAGCGGCGAGGACGGAGGTCAGTGACGAAGGAACGCCTAGATCCATGTATATTATAACACTGTGCAATGCTGGAAAGGAGAGAGGAAACACATATGAACAGATTCCGGTTTTAACCTGGTGATGTATCAAGACGGTGGCATGATCTCTGGCATCCTCCTGACCTGACAGATGGTTCTGTAGAGAGTTCAAATGGTCTTTAGGTGATGTTAAAAGGAACATTCTTTACTTTAGCGAGTAAAATACAGTCTTTGGACTACTAGGGTTTCCGGTTTGTTTCTACTGGACCATGGGTCCTTTTGCAACTAGGCCTCTCACGTGGTTGTGTATGTTCAGAACGTGCACTTTCTTACTTTTCAGAATGGGCTACTAAAGATGGACATGCCTGATGGCCAAGGCCCCATGTTCATCTAGAGGACTCGAATAAACGATACATGGGTGTGAATAGGTTCATGTTCCTCCAATCTACTAGGTTCATATTCGTCTGGTTGTAGCTCCTAGTTCCGTGAACCAATGCTTGCTCCTTCGCATGAACTCCAGCACCTTTCAAACCCATCCAACGCACCAGAAAAAACATCTCCAAGCGTTTCCCAAACACAACACCCCCCAAACGGTTCAGTTTTCGGATTTGATCCGGGCCTCATCTTCAGGCGCGGTCTGGTACCAATCGATCTGTGCCTCCCGGTGGCTTCTCCGCACCGTCCGGATGGGTCGGCCGGGCCGTGGGGGATTGGCACCGAACTCCAAGGACCTGTTCGTTTTCCCAACGCGCGGGATAAGACCAGTGTCACTTGGCTTCCCTAGAAGTCCAGGACATCTATGTTGACCGGCTGAAGTATTGACAAGCTCCCTTTCATCAGGTCCCCGCTAGGTATGACCATTATAGTCTTTGACTCCCAGAGGGGTTGTCTTTTTTTCGGGGTTTTCCATCGTTCCCGTTGGTTCGAAGACGCGGGACGTCGCATCGTGCCAATGGGGCGACCAACAGACTCCTGGTACCTGGGGCCCTCAAAGCCATGGAAAAACAAAGGTTTTTCATATACAAAAGCCATGTTTTTTGCTAGGGAACACCAGGTTTTTCATGGTTTGTGGGGCCCCTGGTAGATATTATTGGCTGCACCTCAGAGCATTACTACAGTAGAGTACTCAGTAGAGCATGACACAATAATTCTGTGCTTTCCAACCAAAAAGAACCGACCCCTTTTGTTGGCTGTGCCCACCCGGAGATTTGGACCGCATCCGCCAGTGACGAGGACATCGACCACAGGTTCACACACAAGTGAACACGTGAAAAGGCGAGGTTCGCCCGCCCTGATTTCAACGAGCCCGGCGAACTTTGGGCAGAGGACGCTACGAACGGAGCAAAGGGCATCGCTACGAACGGAGCAAGGATGCTACGAACGGGGCTCCTGGCCTTACTACTAGGAACACGAGGCTACTAGGAACAAGTGCATCGCTTCTAGTAACAAGTGCCTTACTAGTAGTAACAAGAAGCTACTAGTAACAAGTGCCTT